GAACAATGCCACCTTAGATGTGAGAATATCTGGAAGATTGTTAATGTAAATTAAAAATAGTTTAGGGCCAAGATTGAACCTTGAGGAAAAAATGGTCAAAATAAACTACTTTGAGCCTTATAACTTTTTTCTTACTTTCAACTTGTGTCTCATTTTTTCTAGAACTGTTCTCTGGATGAACTATCCAGAGAATAGTCCTAGAAAAAGAGACACTTGTCTTTTTAAAAAAGTGGTTTATTAACTTGAATTATACTAGAAAAAAATTATAAAATTCCTTACCTTGGAAAAAATCTGAAAATTACTAAAATATGCCAATATTTTGCTATTCCTCTGTAAGTCTTTACAGGTAATTATTTTATGATTAGCTACTACTGCCTGCAATAAATGGGCAAAATATAAGCATATTGTTACAGTTTAGAACTCATATATATAAGCTATTTTGAGATGCTTTATAAGCTATTTTGAGATGCTTGTAATTTTTTCTAACACTTTGTTTTGATTTAAGATTTACATCATATAAGACCATTAGACCCAACTATCTGAAAATGCAAATATTGTGAACTAGTCAAACTCACACAAAAAATGCCAGCATTTTTAAATAACCTTATTTTTCAATGATCAATAGTTTAATCCATTATTGAAAACCAGTGCTTTTCTAACCTGTCTACTGGCTCATGTGAGGTTTGTACCAATTATAATTCAAATCCTAACAGAAAGAAAGATATTACTGGTTGTCCCATTCTTGATCTGTTCTTTATAGTGGATATGGACAAATAAAGGGAAAGTAACTATTTATAGACCTTCATTAGGGTTTAATTAAAGGTCTCTGAATTGATTTAGATACTTGATATCTAAATATATAAGTTAATTTTAAATTAAATTTAGCATTGTATTTTTAAATTCTATTTTACTAAAAGTGATCAGGGTTCAAAGTAGGTGCCCAAACATTGGTGTCCCCAAAACCTTCTTTGAAAGCTATCTGAGGGGGGCAACCAAGTTTTGGTAATTTAATTAACCTTTGTTAATGTCCTTTTAAGGCCATAATATTGTATATTTGTGAGAAAATCTGGTATACACTCTCTATGTCAGTATACACCATAAAAATCAAAGTTTTATTGTAAATGCATAAAAAAAAATGAAACAAAGTTGAGAGATTTGATGGCCTTGGTTTTATTAAAAAATAAATCATGTATGTTTTGTATTTGAAAATTAAAGTATGTATATTTCTGGGACACACCTCACAAGCCTGAGAAGTGTCCAAAAGAAAAGAATTATATGTCCTTGTGGTAATGTAATAACTTATAAACAATGGTTGAAACTGATAGGTGCTCCTTAGAAACGATGAAAAGATGAGTTTCAAAAAGAGCTAGCAAACAACTCACAAAGAAATCTTATGTACAAAATATACAAATATACAAACAACTTACATGAAACAAAACATCGTTAGCAAATCCCAGATAATGGATTTTGAAAAAAAAAAATTATTTGTGATTCAAGATAGAATTCATCTTATTTTTACAAAAATCAGGAAACTCTTCATCTATTTCTAGGAATAGGTTTCTTTTTAAAAACCTTACATCATATTTGAGGTCTTTAAAAGAAAACCTACCCCTAGACAGTAAATTTTATTGTGTTTATCTGACAATCTGCTTCATAATACTGAGGTGATCTTAAGTTATGTTTCGAAAATCATACAAATTCTGAAAGAAGAATATTCGCAAGTTCAGAAGACCTATTATTTCACTAATGATGCAGGTAGCCAGTATAAAAATAAAATTTTTTCAAAATTCTGGTTAAGCAATTTTAACCTAATCATATTTTTAACATATTTATTTAAATATTTGGTTAAAATTAAAATGACGTTTTTTAAATTTGATAAATTAATCATCATAATATCTTATCTTTTAATTTAAGAAACCTTTGTTTTCATAAAAAGAATAGGAATTGAAACCAGATTTTATTATTGGCATTATTTAGCACAGTATATGGAAAAAGTGCATGTGATGGAGTAGGTGGCACTGCTGAAAGGGTTATTAATAAATTAAACACTAAATGACATATTTTTAGTTACTAAAGAAAAGTGTAAAAACATCAGGTATACAGCATTTTTTTTTTTTTTTTAAATCATTGTTGTTGTTTTGTATCTTCTAATTAAAAGTAATTAAAATGGCTAATATTAATTTTTTGTTATAAAAAGTGAATCCTAATAAAACAAGATTTGCAAACTTTGCTCGAAATTTTTTTTTTTAATTGTATACAAAGTATTTCATTAAAACTAGATCTTAATAAATACATTTTTAAAATAATGATTTCAGATTTGTCTGGTTTAAATTTATTTTTAGATTTTTCTATATATCTCAAACCAACACATGATGTACTTACTAAATGATTTGAGAATGTTCCTGCTCATAAAAAAACTTAAACATCATTGTTTCTCACCTAAATCATGCTTTTTAAAAGTTTATGTAACATCAATGATCAGAAACTTTGAAATTTTTCACATGCTGGAAGATACTTGCTTACACAAAAGTCACTGTATATTTATATCAATATTCATTAAATGATTTTGCATTAAATAAATTTTGCATTATTTTGGTAAATTTTCCTGGTAAGATAATAGTTCTTATATGTGATTCTCTTTGTGTCAGGTGTTTACAAAATGCTAGTGATTATTTCAAGTATCCAATAACACCAGATATCCATTGGTATCCACTGAGTGACACTATTGCCATATGAGGCTGAGCTCAAAAACACAAGAAAAACACAAGAAGGTTTTTACTTCTTATTAAAAAAAAAGATTAAGTAAATTGTTTTGATTATCAACCAATTATCAGTTAGAAAGTAAAAAATAAACCTAACAATAAAAGCTGTTTGTAACATGTTTTAAATTTTATTTAAGAATCTCTATTTTTATTATAGAATTTTTTAATACTCCTTACATATTATGGAAGTCTTTTAAAAAACTGTTCAGCATTATTTTGGAAAATATCAATCGTTTTTGTCTTAGAGATTTCTTAATTGCATAAATTATGTTGAAGTATCACATTTAAACAATACTCCTTAATTGCATAAATTATGTTGAAGTATCACATTTAAACAATAAGGAAGGTCTCTGAATATTTACTGCCTCTTTATTTGTGCCCCTAACCACTATAAAGACCAGATCAAGAAGGGGGCAACCAATCTGGTTGCAACCCTCAAATAAGCCAGTAGGCAGGTTAGAGGGGTACTGGTTTCCAATAATGGATTCAACCGTTGATAATTGAAAATTAGGGTTATTTAAATGTTGGCATTTTTGGGTTTGATAAGTTTAATATTTGCATTTTCTGATAGTTAGATCTAATGGTCTTATATGCTGTTAATCTCAGATCAAAACAAAGCGTTAAAAAAATTTACAAGCATTTCAAAATGGCTGAAAATTGGACTTTTATATGAATAGACAATATAGTTTTAAAACATCTATATTTCATTGTTTAATATACAATTTAGCTGTTTTAATAAAAAGTTTCTGTTCTGTGCTCTGCAATCAAATTTTTATTGACTTTCAATACTTTACACACTTGTAAGTAGCTTTTATCAAGTCTTACTTGCATTCAGGAGAATCATTTAGCACAATAAAGATAATAATAAACAATAAATCCTGCCGAAATAGTTTTATGAATCCTTCTATAGTTTATAAACTCAGTCCCGAAATTTTCTATACAAAATAAACTTTTTGTAGTTCTTACAACTAATATGATTCACTCATGATTTTTCTTTGTAAATCTGCCTTAACCCTTTGAACTTGAACTTTTACTGATATTTTTTTAAGATTCAGAGTTAAACAGCTTTTACTATCTCTAAGTTTGAGAGATTGATCAACATCAGAAGATAAAATTACTCTGGTCATAGTACCAATGATATTGTTTTATACTATTGATGCATGTTTAGGCAAGCATCAGGTCTAATTTTGCAATGCTCTATTTCTCCAGTTGTTTATAATTACAGAGTAAAAAATTTTTAAATGGGGGCAGACAAACACAAATGTTGTATCAAGTTATATCAAGACGTTGTATCAAGAAAACAATTTTTTTTTTTATATCCATTTTTTTTTTTATATCAACTTGTTTAATGAAGGAAATATGTTGTTTGTAAATTATATGTTTTTGTTTAATGAAGTAAATAGCCTATGGATTGTAGTTATATATACGAAATAATGTTACTTACCAATAGACACATTGAATAACTTACCTTAAAACTAAGTAACTTTAAAAACTAATAAATTACTTTGTCTTCAAAAAAACACAAATTTCCACCCCTCACAAGCCTAATGATATAAATTATAAATTTTTTTTGTCAAAAAGTAGCTCTAATAATAGTTGTTTCCCCATATAAAAATGGTTGTCACAACTCTTAAGATGCCTCCGCAATTACAATGTTTCCAATGGTGCCCCATTTATCATGGTGTCCCCCCCCACACACACACACACATACATATATATATATATATATATATATATATATATATATATATATATATATATATATATATATATATATATATATATATATATATATATATATATATATATATACATGTATATATATTTATGTATATATACTATATTCAATCAGGCTATTTGTCAGTTGATTTATGTAATGAAGCCCCCCACAACTTCCTGTTTTTTATGACATCATCTGCATTGGTCTACTCCTGCTTTTATATATATATAACAATGGTAAGTGTTTATTGGTTCTTTTTTAATCTCATTATTTTTAGATGTTATATTGATGAAAAATTTATTTGGAAAGCAATTTTTCAATTATCTTCTGCTTTAAAAGCCTGTCATAATTGTGCAAAAGCTGGAAGCACAGTTTTACATCGAGATCTTAAACCTGCAAATATATTTCTTGATGCAAAGAATAATTGCAAACTTGGTGATTTTGGATTAGCTAGAGTGCTACATCATGACACAAGTTTTGCAAAATCATTTGTTGGAACACCATATTATATGTCACCT